TGGGATCTAAAATGTCAGCCTTCCAGGAGTCCCAGACACGCGGAGATGGGTACGAAACAGGAAAACAGCTCACAGAAGCTAGGGAGAGAAAGCCCAGCTTACAAAGGAGGGCTAAGTTGTTAATACTCAGAAGCAACAGCCTGTAAGCTGATTGGTCTGTTTGTTGTTAGCAGCCCTGGAGCCAGCCCCAACTCACGGCGACTCCACGTACAATGGAACGCAGCACCGCCCGGCCCCGTGTCACCCCGTGATGGGCTTCCAACTGCAAAATGTTCCTTTGTGATCCATAGGGTTTTCACTGGCTGATTTTTGGAAGCAGATCACCAGGCCTTTCTTTCTAGTCCGTCTGAGTGTGGAAGCTCCACTGGAGCCTGTTCAGTATCAGAGGGGCGATCGTTGCATAGGAGGTGCACCGTCCGGGAGTCGAATCCGGGTGTCCTGCATGAAAGGCGAGAACTGCACCACGGAAGCACCACTGCCCTGGCGGTTCGACTGCAAGAAACATGAAGCTTGCGAGCATGCTGGGTCCAGAGCTTCTTCCCAGCACCCCCACAGCGGAAACGGGGCAATAAACCTTCAATGAAGACCGACAACCTACAAGCTGCCGCGACAAGCATTTCCCCCCGATGCACGGGTGTGAAGTCATTTCACACATGCGGAACACCCCCCACGTGTGGAACACCCCCACGTGTGGAACACCCCCCACATGCAGAACACCCCCACGTGCCAGGGGCTTTTCCATCTGCTCCATTCTTATATTCAAACCATAAGAGCGCAGACAGAAGCCATGTATAAGGCCACGTGGCTAGTGCTAGAGCCGAAATTTGAACCCAGTCCCCAGAATGACTCCCGTCCTCTTTCCACCATGTCAGCCAGTCTTTGGGGAGACACAGGCGCGTTAACTCCCGGAAGTACTCAGTGGAGACTCTAGGTGCAGGAACCCCCTCTCCGCACCTCTCCCTGCATCGTCAATGCCTTCGGAGCTGCTCTCCTTGCAGCCTGGGGGTGGGCTCTCCTGGAACCAGCCTTTAACATCAGTGGGGCAGCTCCTGCACGCACAGCAAAGACAATGGACATCGGGACTTGCACGCACAACCTTCACTCGGAACGTGTGTTACCGAGCAAGCTGGCCACCCTGGGACAGCAAGCGAGAATTTACAATGTGCAGGGAACACCGAGAGCACCTTGAAGACACTCAGCTTTGCTTGGCTGGCACTTCACCCACTGCTTCCCTCTGCTCATTCTTCTTCACCCACCTCACCTCTCATCACCAGGCTGCCTGTGCGGCATGGCCCGGGGCAACGACCCGCAGCTGGCAACAGGCCATTCATTACCAGCTGTTCTTTGCCGGGCCCCTCTCTCCCGACCTTAGGAGTTAACGGCACCCAGAGAAATGGGTCGCAGATCCAGTTTCTGTCGGTCAGCAGGGCCTTATTTTAATAAGTTGTTGTTTTTTTTGAGATGCTGCCGCTGCTTTTTTCCAACAGGCCCGAATGGGATGGCTAGAATGTCAGCTGACCCAGGTGGAGAGTGCTTCGCTGGTTCTGATAATCTATAGCTTACTGCTTTTCTCCCTACCTGGGACATATGGTTTTCATTTCTAATTTCTGCCATATGCTTCTCAACTTGAGCTTGCTTTTGTCTCCCTGCTCCGAGCAGTGAACGCTCCACATCTCGACCCCGGCTGCGGGGCAGGGGCGAAGGAAGGAGCAGAGAGAATGCAGCTTCCTTGGGTGACTGTGAGGCCCAGCGGAGGGAGCCTGACTTCCAGCGGGGATGGGGCCATCGCACGTGAGCACCGCCTCCTCACCCCTGCTCAAGGCACGGGGACTCACGGCTGGAGAGCTGGACTTGCGTTTGGGTTCAAGTCTCAGTGACTCAGCTGAGGCCACAGCACAAGGACCTCCCTGTCCTCTGCTGTATTCACACACATACCTGTGACAGGGGCTCTCAAGTCACACCGGGAATCTGCAGGCACTCTGCCCACCCCTGCCACACTGCGGAGGGGTCACCCAAGGACAGCTTCGAGGGGCAGGTGGGTAGACCAGAGCCAACTTTTTCAAGCAACCTCGATATGAGTTAGGGTCTTAACTACCCCCTCCTTTTTTTAAATAACAAAACACACAGGCTGAGACCACCCTTCTTTAAGGTTATTTCATCACCCCCCTCTCCTTAGCTTGGCGGGCCCCACCGTGGACCATCCCACACTCCTGCTGAAGGACCTCCCACCGTGCAAACTTGGAAAGGTCGTTTGGAATGTGTCTCTCAAATCCTGTCCTGAGTGGCAACTCTCCTCCCAGATGTACAGGATCTGCGGTTAAAAACACAACAGAAATGCAAAACACGGCCCAGGCTCAGCGTGAGGACACGCTCCCTGCTCCACCCATCTCCCTGCACAGATGGATCTGGCAGAATAATGGCCCCAAACACTAAAGGAACTGCTTACAGAGAACTTAGAGAATCCGGAGTGTTTCTCTAACCTCAAGTATTTATAGAGGGAATTCTGCTGCACTGCTCCCTTTCCAAGAGATGCTAACCTGACACTTAATTGTGGATTATTTAATCGTTTTAAACAAAAAAATGGCCAAAACACACAAACACAATCCCTGGGGGTCGCAGGAGGAAATGGTGGGTTACTGTGATCTTCCATCAGCCCCGTCTGCTGAGAGCCGGGAAGTAGTAGCTCCAACCGCAATCCGCTTCGGCGTTTTCCTGCAGAAGCTCCAAACCAAGCTGCTGCCAGAATAGGTCACTTGACTGCCGCAAAGAGCCGTCAGTGCCCTTGTTTCGGAATCACCGGCGTTTAGAACACCTGACCTGTGAGGGACAGCCCTGCGCCGACCGTCCGATGGGACAGGAAAAGCTCTGCTTGGAATTTCCACCTGCACCAGAGCCTCCCCCTGTAATTCTAGCAAGGACACCAAGAGAGTAGATACATTTCTTAAGGCCTTTAAAAGAAGAAATCCAGATAGTTATGAACGACGTGGAAAGGGTCCTGAAGATCCAGTCGGAGCTGGCTGCATCTTTGGGGAGGCGTTTTCTGGGGTTTGGATAAATGTAAGGCTGAGAATGATAATCCAGATACCTGGTGTTCAGTCATTCAGAACTTCTCTCCAAAGGAAGGCAATTAGCCACATTACCATCATTTTTGTCTTCTTTTGTAAACCAAGACATACAAATTCATTTCATAATGTAATTCCTCATGTCAGTTTTGGTCCAAGTGGTCAAAATCAGAACTTTTAGTCACGCAAGCCCCAAACTATCAACACAAAGTGTAACTCATCTGTAGGAGGGAAAGAATGGCAAACAGAAAATATGAAAGGTTTTTCTTCCAGCCACAAATAATAATGGAGAGCTGGGTATGTATGGGAAATAGAAGCAATAAAACAATAATTAGCATTGAATTCAAAACCTCCGGAAAAGCTATTTCCGATTAGAGGCTGGCTTATTTACCTCAGAATATGCAAGTTTAAAAATTAAATTTCTAAAGTCACTTTTCTTTGTAACCCCAGAAGCTATATATACACGGGCTGGAATCCAGAAATTAAGGTTAGAAGCATAAATAATGATAACTTCAAATAAATTCCGAAGGGTTTCAGAAAGATACAACGATTCAGAGTAAAACCAAGCAGAAGAGTATCCTGTTTTGGGTTGCCTGAGGTATACATGCTCCTGTTGTCTGGGGTCTTTCAGCTGATCCCGACTCGTGGTGACCCCAGTGAGACTGAGGAGAACTGCTCCCAGGCAAGGGACCAGTGGGTTTGAACCACCAACCTTTTGATTGCCAGCTGAGTGCAATAATTTTTTCTCCTGAGGAATGAGATTAAAATTTGATTGTTTTGAATAAAAGAAGTCTTTAGATGGTGTCAACAAAGTTTAGGAGGAAGTCAGAACACTTTACACACACACACACACACACACACACGTATATATAATCCAGTGAAACCTGTGAGAGCTGGGACGCAATGGGACGGCCTTGCTTTTCCAAGTCTCGCAGGTTTTCCGCCTTTGACAGGGTGCGGTCTTACCACTTTTCTACTGCTCTCTATTAGGGGAAAATATTTGAGTTTTCCGTCTCTGACAGGTTTCTGTCTTTCACACGTTCCAGCTTTCACAGGTTTTACTGAATAAGTATAGGTATGTATGTGCGCTATATATGTGTATGTATGTATATAATATACACACACACACACATACATACATACACACACCTTCTTTCATTTGCATTGAAAGAGGGAAGGGCGACCTCATAATGACCTCCTGGACGCTCAGCCCTCTTTTAGGTCTACCAGATGACTTGAATGATGAGCCAACCGTGTCACTGACCTCCTTCCCACTCAGTCTTCCCTGAGAAAAGACAGCTGCAGCCATTCCTAGCAGAGACTTGGCTCAGATCATTGCTGTGGTGAAAGCTATAGCCTACTAGAGCTTTTCAGAAGAGCCCAAACCTGGAAAGAGGTGACTATAAGAAATAGGTAAGAACCAAGACTGCGGATAAGTGTGTTTGAAAAGATCTTCCAGAATTACTCAGCTAGAGTCTGTTTGGTTTATTACAGTCCAAATACATGATGTTCTTGTGAAATAAAATCACATGGTACAGATCAAAACAGGCCACAACAACCCGGCGAAAGCTGTTTCAGGGCCAAATGACAGACTACCCAACAGTTCACATTTTAGGAATCTGAAAAGTCTAAAAATGGAGACGGTGGTTTCACAAAACAAAGGAGTGAGGAAGAAGGAAAAGAAGACAAGGAAGGGAGGAAGGGAGCGAGGGAGGGAAGGAAGGAAGGAAAGGCATTACCGAAACTTCATGAACTGTTACCTAAGAAGAATAGCTTACTTAGAAAGAAGGGATAAATGCATAAAAAATGCATAAACTGTGCAGGTTAATGCAATATTAAAGACAGTAGAATACATAGGCCTCATAACACTTTTGTAAAGGCAAACATATATAATGTCTCCAAGCACTTTTTAAAAATATGCAGAGACTAACTCAGGAGCAGTCTAGATAAAAATACGTATTTCTGTAAAGGGGCAGGGCAAGGGGCAGGAAAGCATCGTCTCAGGGCAGACCCCCCAGACGTACAAGGCTAAAACGACATTTTGGTAATTGTAGTTGATAGGGCAGCAAAAACTGCTGTAAGGATGTTGGCTGGTTTTGAGAGGGTTATTTTCAAATGTAACCTTGCCGCTACATTTGTAAAACATTCTTGTGAGAGTTTGTTTTATGAACCCTGTAATGTATACACTGTTATCTCCTTCTACAGTAAAAGAAAAGTAGCAGTGTGGTAAGTGGGAAGGGACGTAGTATATGCTTTAAAGCAAGTGTCAACCCTTCTTGGGTTCCTTTCACACTGAGGGATACCAACTCTTTTAAATAAAATAATACTTCCTTAAAAATCTGCCACCTGACAAGTGTTTACATCATAGAAAAATAGCATTTTTGTAAAAAGAAATATAGTTACTTTGTTAAAATGGTCTACCTTAAACTAGCAATTATTTTTCATATAAAGAATTTCTAAACATCCATACAGAAAATAAAAATAGATAATACTGAGTGCAAAGCAGACAATGGCATGTTTGCAAATGATCAAAGTATTTCATTGCCAGATAAATAATACTCTCAGTACGTTATAGTACAACTTTCAATCTTTCAGGGACTTAAAAGATATTGCTTTTCTTCCCTGATGGCAAGTGACTCATAAGTAAAGTTACTCCCAGCAGCGGAGGACCAAACTGATAAGAAGTGGATCGTATGTATTCGTTCCCCATTTCCCCTAAGCAAAGTGCTGAATACTAGGCAAAGGCCTAGGCCCCCGACTCTTTCACACGACCGTGGGGCATAAGCCGTGGCCATGAGGAAGGGGAATTTATAACACTCACCATCCTTCCAACATCATTTCACTAGATCCCCCATGTTTAAATGTTCACACAGAACCAGATTAACACCAAACTATATACCAACTTGGCCAAATCCATCATTAAGGAGAGTTCATCTGAAAACTCTTTTCTAAATATAAAGATTAAATCTTCATGCTCTAAACACAGATGGTTTTCAATGGACTTTTGCTTTGTCTCCACGAAGCAACTCTGAATGAATGACTGATTTCCCAGTGGCAGTGGCAAAGGATGCACCAACACTAAAACCCCGCAGTTTCCAGCTTGTACATGGGCCAGTTGGGCTGATGGACCCAAGTCAGAGAATACTCGGCACACCAAAGTCGTCCCAGACTTCACTAGTATCTCATCACACCCTTTCCACTCTGCTGGGATCATATGAATCTGTAAAAAGAAAAGAAAAAAAGGCAGAGGGAATTAGTGGCATATTCAACTGGTCCATTCTGTGTTTAATCCTCAGACCATAAATAAAGATGTTTCGGCAGCAACATCCACAATGGTATAAAAGTTCATCTTCAGACATGTCAACAGTCTTGTTTTTACTAAGGACTGAAAAACAATTGTTACAAGGCTGTTGTAGAGAGTCATGTTAGCAACTGTGGGCGGTGCCAGCAGTTAACGCGCTAGGCTGCTAACTAAGGTTGGAGGTTCGAGTCCACCCAGGGGCACCTCGGAAGAAAAGATCTTGTGATCTACTTCCAAAAAGTCAGCCACTGAAGACCCTGTGAAGCACAGTTCTACTCTGACACATGGGGTCGCCACGAGTCAGATGCCACTCCACGGCAACTGGTCCGGTTAATTTGGTATGATCGTTACCCGAACACAGATGGAAAAATGTGAGTTGCTTAATAGTGGGACAATCCTCTCCTGTTGCTCATGATGGAATATAATTCACTTTCATGCAGTGTGTGTAAACTGGGAGTGCTATGTTTGGCTGACGCTAAAGATTTTTTTTTTTTACTTTTTTAGTAAATTATAATTCTAGTAGATGGAAAACTTGTGTTAGAATATCCATCTTTGTGACCCACTGCTGCTTGCAATCCTGACTGCTTGGCAGGCGATGAGAGGTCTCCTGTCCCTGGCGGTCACCAGCCAGCAGGCAGGCGACAGGGTGGGCCACAGGGCGGGCCACATGCCTGCAAGCACCGTCTTCTAAGGCCTTCACGCCACACACACACACACACACACACACACACACACGTATGAGTCTGGGCTGCCACACGGATCCATTCTCCAGCCCATCCTAGAAAATCCCACACCGTGCCCAGATGGCCTGCATTTCTAAAACTGCCATTCATGCTACAGCTGGGTGTCGCAGAGTGTGACAAAGTCCAGGTCCACAAACCTCTGGACTACAAGCAAACTGAGCTTCACCTATGTTCCTTTTATGGTCAGAACATCTGCCGCAAGAGGAGAAAAGTTTCCCTAATTTTTGAAGAGATCATATTTAAGAATTCTGGAAGGATGGTACAATTCGAAAACAATTACCAAGCAATCTCTCCCCAAAGCCATCAGGACAGCCATGCACTATGAAGACATCATAAAATCCAATCTCTCTAGCAGCAGCTGGGTCTACCCATGCCCTCCTCACACCTTTTCAATTGATCTACAATATATTTCTGCAACGACTAAGACCCTGTGCACAGCACTTTGAGTCAGACATTATAAACCAGATGGGAAAGACAGCCTGCTCCCCCTCCAACATGACTCAGGGAGCCGAATGCCTATCTGTGCTCAGAGGACGCAGTTGCAGGAGTTGGCCTTCTGACATCTGACACTTAACAACACTCCATGTGACAACAGAGGGCAGGAAGTCGAGCACTGCACTTCTGTGCTGACTCAGCCTCATGTGTGCCAGTTCTAAGAGGGGCCGTCTGTGAGTAAAGATGGGTTCTTCCCCACTGAGAGCGGGGCGGCAGCCACTAATGGATGAGTAGGGGAGAAGGTCAAACTTCTGGCCAGCTGGAGGCCTGGAAGAAGGTGGGCATCTACTGAGCCCCAAATTCCAAAGGCATGGGGCACTGAACAGCTCACCTCAGTGCTAAGAACACTGCAGACACCTCCAAAGAAGGTACTCATGCCCCAGAGTCCCACGGTGGAAGCTAAGGGGAGCCATGGTAAGAATTCTGTAGAACAACGGGCTCCTTGTCAGATCAGGGAGGGCTAGGTCCAATAAAATATAGTGCGAGGCACATATATTATTTAAATTTTTCTAGTAGCCACATTAAAACAAAAAGAAGTGAAATTAATCTTAGTAATATATTTTATTTAACCGAATATATCCAAAATATTATCATTTCAATATGTACTCAACATAAAAATTAAGATCGTTTGGATTCTTTTTTGGGGGGGGAGGAGAATACTATGTCTTTGAAATCCGGTGTGTATTTCACACTTACATTGTTATTGTTGTTGGGTGCCATCGAGTTGATTCCAGTTCATAGCGACCCCATGTGACAGAGTAGAACCACCCCATAAGGTCTCCTAGGCTGTGATCTTTATAGGAGTAGATTGCCAAGCCTTTTCTCCCTCGGAGCAGCTAGGTGGGTTCGAACCACTGACCTTTTAGTTAGCAGCTGAGTGAGTGCTTAACCACTGTGCCACCAGGGCTCACTTACAGCACCCCTCGATCTGGACTAGCCACGTTTCTAGTGCTCAGTAGTCACCCGTGACTAGGGCCTACTATACAGGAGAGCGCAGGTCCAGAGATGGAGTGGTCACCATGGATATTCAGAATCCTGGCGCCCGTGGGCTCTACTTCAGCTGATGCCATCTCACCGAGGTCAGCCTGGGTGGGTATCGCCCTTGAAGATGGGCAACGCCTCGCCTCCAAACAGCATTATATGGCCTCATTAGGCCTTCTCAGTTGTCCCCCACTTGGGGCCTGAAGCAGGCAGCCCCCTCGTTCACCTCCGGTGCTCACGCCAAGAGTGTTTACGACGGAGGCTGATGGAGCTAGCAGGTTCTGGGCAGTCAGTGCCTGTCCCTACACGTCTGAACTGGCAAGTAATCCCCCCAGCTGAGACAGGATCCCGCGACCTGAATTAGTTCTGAGCTGGCGATTTCCTAGGCAGAGCCAGAGAGAGATTACTGCAGTGATGTCAGCTGGAATGACCATCTTCCATCTGCAATAGAGATAGTTTAGGATAATATGATGTATACGTCACAACACAAATAATGAAGTTCTGGAAGTGCGTGCGTGTGTGCGTTGCGGGGGGTGGGTAGAGATAGACACAGTATAATCTTACTTCACAGTTCCAGAACAAAATCTGAATTTAAGTGGGCTCTGAATTTAGGAGCAATGAAGTGGTCCCAGCACCCTGGGTAATGCGCGTGGGAGAGAGGTGGAAATGGAGAGGAGGACTCTTGTGTTTAAAATTATAAAGTGTATCAAAAAGGAAAAAAAAATGTCCAAAAGTTTATCAACAGCATAGCAACAAGGCTTTATGCTAATTTGTGAAGCAACAGTGAGTGGAAAAGCTTTATTGTCTCGGTCATATGACCCATATTCCTCTCAAAATGACCAGTTTTGACTATTAAGGCCTAGTGACCATCACAGAAAAGGTCTGTGGACACCCAGCTGAGCAGCAGAATATGTAAGAGCTCATCCCTAAGTGATGCCCTGCTATCCAATGATTCAAGAATGCCAGGCAACGGTCGACAGGGGCAGCCCTCTGTCCTCGGGTTTTCGCTCATTTTATTATTAACAAATGCATTGGACAGGGAGGAGAAAAAAAAAGAAGTAAAATTTCTACTTGTTAGCAGGTTAGGTCTTTTAACAATCTTAAGCTTTTAATGGCTGGTTAAAATTAAAATTTATATTCGCTGGATGTTTTCAAATATCTACCCAACCCCACTCACATGCCAAGCGGTCAAGCTAATAATTGAGGGACTGTTTTATTGAGCTAGAAATTTTATGCTATAAAATACTCCCTAAAATACGTGGCCAGAGACTAAGACATGGAAATATTTATGAAGTGGTGTTTAATTACAGCAGGATTTTGTTCTATTTTAAAATCCTTATAATTCTCAGGAGGAGGTAGCACTGAGAGAATCATCTCGATCTTACAGATGAGTTATCTATTGAGCCCCCCATTACTAAGACACGGACACCGGACAGCTCAGTGCTAGGGAGATGAGGACACTCACTTTCCAAGCCTACCACGCTTAAACCAGCACTTGAAAGCAAGTGGGCATATATTTGGGGGGGCGGGGGTAGGGAGACAGATCCTGCTTAAACCTACAAGAAATGCCAGCAGTCCTAAAAATGGGCCATGTAACACTCTTTCCACCATAACAGCAAAGGCTTCGCATCCTGAGTGCTGTTGTCTTCCTCCACAAATGTCAGATGTGCCATAACAAGATGACCCGAGAGGACCCACCAATGTATCCTTTCAATAATGCATTACGCATGGGGAGCAGAGCAACACTGGCTAACAGCCCTGAGGATCGTACTGTATTTGGGGGAAAATGTAAAAAGTACCAAGCAGATTTTCTGTTTAACAACAAATTTCTGGATTCTTCCAGGCGTAACAACTGCTCTTTTCCATTGACCTTTGAATCCTTAGATTTCAAAAAAAAAAAAACAAGAGAGAGACAGGGGGGCGGAACCAGCCTCTTGGGGGCAGCACCGTGGAATGGAAGGGAGGCAGGCTCAGGAGGGGACGGGGTTCTGGCAGCAGCTATGTAAAACACAACTCCTGGGGCCACAGTTTTTCCTGATTTTTTTAAAAAAACAAACCAGTTACCCTTGAGTCGATCCGACTCATGGCAACCCCAAGTGTGTCTGAGCAGAACTGTGCTCCACAGGGTTTTCAATGGCTCAGTTTTTGGAAGTAGGTAACTAGGCCTTTCTTTCGAGGTGCCTCTGGGTGGACTCGAACCTTCAATCTTAAGGTTAGCAGCCAAGCGTGTTAACTAAAACTAAAGGCTTAGACTAAATGACTGAAGCTTCATGTGGTTTCTGATGTGGCCCTTCTAACATCTACCTCAACTCTTCTAATCATTTCTACGATGAATCATTAATGCTCATGATTAATGCCCAGTCCCTGAAGAAAACGCTTGGTGCCTGCAACAGAGATGTGGGGAGGCCCCAGTTCTCCTGGCCTGCTTGTGTCAGAGCTCAGAGGGTGAAACTCTGCCTATGGAATCATCGTTGCTGCCTGCCATCCAGGAAACCTCCTCGTGGTCTTATGAAGCAGAGAAGGCTCTGGAAACACATTAAGAGGGTGGAGAGACAGAAAGGCCCGCAGGATGCTGTTGCCAAAACATCTCCCCTGAGATTCAGCAGTCAAAACTCGGGGGACTTGAAGGAGAACAGTTGGTGAGAGAATGACCTGGGGCAGAGCGCTGAGAAAGCGCCAGCTGTCAATTCTGTCCACTAAATCCTTTAACATTTCATAAATGGAGTGGTAGTGAATTAGGTCAAAAGGGGGAAAAAAGATTTTGGAAGGTGTGAATGTAGGAGACGGCATAACGGGAGAGGCAGTTAATTTAAAGGTCTGGTGTGTCTTTTCTTCTCTGGTCAATAGAGAGCAATGAGGGAGACCTGGGTGGGTGCCTGTTATTTTAGGGGGATATCACAGAGCACAAATGCTACGTCAAGGGGCCTGCACCAATGTTGGAATACTTCAGTGAGTCACCTCTTTCTAGTGGCTTGAAAAGTAGTTTATATAATTTCTGTAATGACATAATCATTGTAAGTATACTATAAGATCTGAATTTTAAAAGGAAGCTTCTGGATAATTCTTTGTAAAATGAGGAATCTTTTGGTAAAATAATTCAAATTCATCTCTTCTGGATAGGCAAATTATCATTCTCTACTAGCTTCATATTTTTTATGAGGTATCATTTGCGGTTGAGTCAACTCCAACTCATGGCGACCCCATGTGTGTCAGAGTAGAACTGTACTCCACAGGGTTTTCGATGGCTGATTTTTTGGAAGTGGATCACCAGGTCTTTCTTCCGAGGCACCTATGGGTGGACTGGAATCTCCAACCTTTCAGTTAGCAGCCGAGCACGTAACTGTTCGTACCACCCAGGGACTCTGAGGATTTTAAACGAATACTGAAAAGTCTGCCTTCTTGCCTGCTGCCTCACCTGGGCACGGGAAGGCTCGATCCCCGCTCTGTCTTGCACTCTGTGGTGCCACGTGCCCGCTGTCCTCCAGAACGATGATGCCCTTGGGCGCGGAGGCCACCCTCCGGGGCAGGTCCCCGCCGTTCAGAGACACAAAGTCTCTTGGCTGCTCCCCCGCGCCCTCCTCTGCCTTCAGCTCCTCGGCCTCCTCCGTGGAATCGGTGCTCCTGGAGCTCAGGAGCCGCATCCGGGACACGGAGCTCACCTCCCTCATTCTCATCACGCGGTCCGGGGCTGCTCTCCTCGGCGGGGAGGCCAGTTTCTCTTGCAAACTTTCGATCACTCTGGAAGTGTTTCTGCACCTCTTTTCTGAGTCTGCCACACCTGGGCTCCCCTCGATAAAATGGAACAAAGTGGACCTGAAGGCTGGTTTTGCCTCCGACTCCCTTTGATCCAAGCACTTGGGGTCCAGGGGGCTGGGCTGGGGCTCAGGGCGGGGGGCGTCACAGATGATGGCCCCGTCCAGAACTGAGTGGTCAGGTGCCTGGGGAGTCCGTCTAGTCATGTCTCTGTCCCCTACAAAGAGAGGGCTTTCGGTCCAGCCGCACTTTCTCCGGCCATAAAAGGCATCTTTTGATGCTGCGGGGCCGTCTGGCCGGGCTGAGCTGGTCAGTGGCTCTTCCCTGGGTGAATCCGGCCTGCAGGCACTTTGATCAGGTGCGGGGTGCTGGCTGCGTCCAGCTCTCCTGCTGGGCCGCAGGAGGGACTCCACTGCAACCTCGATGCCCAGGATCCGCTCAGCCCTTTCTTGAAGGGACTCGTTTGGGGGGATTTCTATTGCACTTGCTTTTTCAAAAGAGCCATCTAACTTGCTGGCACTCTGCTCTTGGCTCGTATGAAGCCCCATGGACCGCAAGTCTGGTGCTGACAGTCCTCGGTTTTTGTTCACGAGAGACAGCGGAAACACTGTCTCCCTCTCGTCCCCGCTCTCTGCCTCCAGAGTGTCCACTGGGCTCAGTTTCACAGAACGTACATCCCTGGTAAATTTCTGGCTTTCGGGTGGCTCCCTCAGTCCCGCTGGGTAGAACAGAGGGGCTGGTTTTATGTCGTTTGATCCAAAGACCATCATTCTTTTCATGGGACCTGGGCTGATGGCGAGCTTGCTTCTCCTGGTTCCGACCTCCTGGTTTCTCTTGCCTGTGATCCAGTTTCCATCTGCCGACCTGAACGAGTCCCCTCGGCTATCCTCTGCCTGCAGAACACCCTGGGCTGGGGGAGCGGCCGTCTCCTCTTCGCTGCGGCTCTCAGACCTACTCTTCACTCTTCCCGACCTCTGCGCGGGCTCCTCGGGCGGCGTTCTTGGCTGCCAGTCCCCTCTCCCCGCCTGGCTGTACCCGCTGAACGCAGACCATCTGGAGACCGTGCCGTCATCCTGGTGCCCCTCGGCCTCACTTTCCTCGCTGCTACCCTCACTGCTGCTGTGACTGCTCTCTGGCTGCTCCTGAAGCTCCTTGTTGAAATTCTCTAGCTGACTTATTAAATCCCAGGGACGACGGCTCACGGGTTTCAAGAGGAACTGGCCGAACAGCTGCTGACTGTTGCATGGGCTAGTCGGTTCCCCCTTTACCACCTCGTCCCTGGGGACAGGGCTGGCTCCGTGTCCGTGGACATCCACGTGGGGCGGACGCCGGCAAGCTGTGGATGCAGGGGCCTGACTGTTGCACGGACTAGTTGGTTCCCCCTTCACCACCCCGTCCTTGGGCACAGGGCTGGCTCCACGTTCGCGGACATCCATGTGGGGCGGACGCAGGCAAGCTGTGGATGCAGGGGCCTGACTCATGGCTGACGACGTCCTGGAGAAAGCGCTGTTGCTCGACTGGCTGAGGTGCGCTTGACCTTTTAAGGAATGAACATTTGACCTCTGCTTCTGGTCACTGGGAGCTAACGCTGTGTGTGTCGGGGCGCCAGAGGCAGTGGGGTCCGAGTAATTCGGAGTCAGCACTGCATTCCCTGAGCCTCCCGGCTTCGCACTGGGGAGGAGCTGGGAGCTTCTGGATTCTTCGGTGAAACTGGTTTGCGTTTGCTGGTCTCTGAACTGGTGCCCTGGCCAAGAGCCAGCATACTTGGGTGCTCTGTGTCCTGTAGGGTGAATGAATCTGAGGTCATTTGTTTGTCTGTCTTCTGCTTCCCCCAGACCTTGTTTCTGCAGCTCTGTTCTGCTGGCAACGATTCCCATCAGTGCCTGCAGCTCCAGGTCGGTGGAAGACATGCTGAGGAGACTTTGTTCTCGCAGCTCTGGGCTCTTATCGAGCCCGTTCTTTCTCTCCGCCCTCGGCTTTAAGGCATTGTTGTTGCTATCTATCTCTGGCAGCTGTGACTCGGATTGGACTGGGATGGAAACCAAGCAAAATACAGTCTCGTTCTTTTTTTTCTTTGAACTTTTCTTAGTCTGGAGCCCGGTTTCAAACTTCTTGAGCTTGGTTACGGTTTCACGGGAACTCTCGCCCTGTGGGGCTGGGGAAGCAGCGCGGCCTCTTGAGCGCCCGTGCTGGGCGCCTTTCACGTCAGACGGCTCTCCTCTCACTGCACAGCTGTCTCTTTGGTCACCAATGTCAGCGGGTTCTCCAGCCCTGGGGAGCCGGCCCAGCGGCCACTGGGGGCCAGGAGCGGAGACGGCAGGGGCCCACTCACCCGCGGCCGTGGGCACTGTGCCCCGCACACCGTAAACAGCACCGCCAGGATGCATTTTCCCTTGAGCTGGCTCTTGGGGCGCAGCGGGCCCAGAGCCGTACAACTTATCATAAAGCTGGGTTTCTCCACAGAAACCTTGGGGCTGAGTTAGTTTAAGATGTCGGATACGTGGGTCATCAAAAGGAATGTACTGAACAGAGCTGTCGTGAGCGGTGGTGGGACAGGGGTGTTGGGGACGCCCGCGAGGAGAGCGTGGGCTTGCAGTGTATTCGTCCCCGGTTCCCGGGGAGCCAGCAGAACGCTGGCAGCTGGTACTGGTTTTCTCGGTCGGGGGGTGCTGCTGCCTGTGACCCCCACATGCGTGTCTGGGCACTGCATCTTCCAGGTACGGGTTTGTGATGTGCGGCAAGGGTGAATGGTACGACGGTGGGGGTACATAGACTGGCGGCTCCAAACTGGAGTCCGACCCACAGCGTTCCTGCCTGGGCTCACTGCTTTTGGTCACACAGGGGACATACGGGTTGTCCGTTGACTGGCTGTCCTGGTATTCGCTGTTTTCCACCCCCCCCCTGGACTGTTGGTGTGACTCATAGGACGGAGGCTTCAGGGGTCTCCCAAACTTAGGTTGTGGTAAAGGAACGATGAAGACACCCTTCTCGGTGTCCCTTGCGGTTTCCAAATTGGGTGCACAGTTTGGAGGATAAAGTGGCATCTTAGGGACACCCGGCGAATGTTTACCACTCAGTGCCAGCGGCACCTCCACGCAGCTCAGACTCTCGGGCGAGAGGACTCTCGGCAAGGACCGAGATTTCCCTCTGTTCTGAGGACTCAAAGCGTGTTCTCCCGCAACGAGCGGGTACAGGTCTTGAAACAGCTTCTCCCCGCCGCCCTCAGACATCTGCCTCCCCAGCCTCCTTGGCTGGCTCCAGCTTTCCAGGCTTGCGTTCTGCCACTGGGCCACGCCCGCCATTCTCAGCTCTTCTTCCAAAACTGCCTTCTTTGTCACATTCTCTGTCCTCGCTCTGACGTCCCGTGGGCCCTCCCTCACGCGGACAGGCCGACCGTGGGCTGGGGCCAAGCCTCTGACCTCCAGGTCCTCTCGGTCCCTCGGTCCCAGCCAGCCACCGTACTCCTGTCCCCTTCTCCTCCAGTAGGCCTGGCTGTTCCCAGTCTGCGGCTGAGGGGACCGCGCTAACGGTGGTTGGTTATAAAACCTACAAAACAGAAAGGCACAGACGTTACATGAAGGGAAGGGGCACACAGAAGAAATACGCACTTCTCTGCTTCTGTGAGCAGCATTCCAAGTCCAACTCAGGGCAGGGCCTTTTAAAAAGTCACCCCAACCACCGTACTTGTCAACTTTAAGGACACGTCCCACTAATGATGGCTGGAAGATGGCCATGTGTTTTGCCATCAATGGCCCAGAAGTGGCAGTGGCAGGCCGACCACAGGAACACCAGGGATGCTGGCTGGGCCCGAGATACGCCAAGGCCCTTAGAACCTTAACACACCCACGGGAACAGGGGAAGCCCCAGAGCGCAGCTTCTCAAGGTGTGGTCTTGGGCTGCATGCAGGTCCGATTAAACGTGCAGACTCCTGGCTCAGTCCAGACCGACTGAGCAAGCTCTGGGAGTGGGGTCTGGGAGCCTCTTTTAACAATCCCGCTCCATAGCGGTGGTCCTCAAACTGGACAGCGCGTCGGAATCACCAAGAGCACGGCTAAAACAGGTTCCTGGGTCCCACGCCCAGCTTCTGATTCAGTAGGTCTGGGTGGGGAGTCCCCGGGTGGTGCAAACAATTAACACGCTCAGCTGCGAAACAAAAGGTTGTAAGTTTGAGTCCACCCAGAGGTGCCACGGAAGAAAGGCCTGGTGATCTACAGGCAGTCCCCAGGTTACAAACGAGATCTGTTCCTAAATGTCTTTCAGAATTTGTAGGTACGTCAGAACGGGTGCATATGGTTCTTATCTAGCCTTACTTTAGTGCAAGAAAAGCTGGAACCCTCTTCAACGCTCTAAAAGCTGGACAGGCAGCAACGGAAGGTGACTGCGATGAAGAATCTGCTGCAGGCAAGGGTTGGTTCAGTCGTCTCAAAGTGAGGGCAAATTTCCATAACATTCAAGGGCAAGTACGACGAGCCGTCTGTAATTCTGAAGCTCGTAACCCGGGTACTGCCTGTACTTCCGAAAAGTCCGCCACTGAAAACCCTCTGGAGCACAGCTCGACTCCGACACACGGGGCGTCGCCATGAGTCGGAATCGGCTTCACAGCCACTGGTTTGGTTTGGTTTTAGGTTGGGGGGTGGGGGGGGCAATAATTGTATTTCTAACAGGTTCCCAGGTGATGCTGATGCCCTTGGTCGGGGACCACACTTAGAGGACCATCAACGCTGCTGGTCCCCAACCTTGACCGCACGTCAGAATCACTGGAGGAACTTTTAATCCTGACGCCCAGGTGGATCCTCGACCAACTGCATTAGAATCTCGGAGGGAAAGGGGACCCAGGCATCCGTGTCTTCCCAAGCCCCCCAGGGATTTCCAGTGCGGCCAAGACTGACGGCCGCGGCTCTCGCATATTTCCCACGTTTCCCTGACAGTCCGGGTCACCTGGAGGCCTGTTAAATACACCCATCACCGGGTCTCTTCTCCCGGAAATTCCGTTTCAGTAGGTCTGGGTTAGGGCCCCGGAATCGGTAGTTTTAACTAGCATTACAGCTGATTCTTACCTGCGAGTGATTTGGGAACTACGGCTAGGACCAACCTGGAGACTGACCCAAAGGAAGGGGTGGGAGGCTCTTTTATGGGGCAGAACCCTCTGCGGCAGGAAACGGTAGTAACAGATGCAACCTAGTTCCCGGCAGCTGCGTGCCACACAAATGGGCATTGGAATTACCCGGGGAGGCTTTTCTAAACACTGATGCCCGGGGCCTACCCCCGAATATTGGGGCTTACTCTAGTGAGGAGCCCGGACACGGGTATAAATCAGAATCTCCCCAGACGAGCCTAGCATGCATCCAGCGTGGAGAATCACTGTTCTGTGATTCTCCAAACAAAGAAGCAGAACAGCACTGTTGGACGCTGCAAGAATGCTCAGCTACTACCTCTGGGTGACGAGAGACCAGGACCACAACACAGAAAGACAAGTCACCGGAAGGAAGCTCAGGGGCTCAACTATTGTGAATAACCACGGGCTAAACAGAAAGCGTTCCAACTCTCTAAAACTACTGTTTGGCTTTTCGAACCATAAAAGCAACGTATATCCATGGCAGAAAATTTAGAAAAACATAGGAAAGTACAAAAAGTAAAAATTGCTGGTAATCTTCCCACCCAGATAGTCACTTTGATATATATCTTCTAGTCTTTGTGTGTGAGCATATGCATTTTTAAACGGCCTCGGTATTCTACTAGGTATCTGGTTTTAAGTGAACATCTACCAACACTTTTAGGACAAACAGCGACAGCTGGCACTTACACAGCATTTACCGTGCGCTAGGTCCACACATGGAGCCCTGGTGGTGCAGTGATTAAAGCACTTGGCTGCTACCTGAAAGGACCATCTGCTCCCTAGGAGGAAGATGTGGCAGTCTGCTTCCATCAAGATCGACAGCCTTGGAAAGGCTACTCTGTCTGATAGGGTGGTTAGGAGTTGCAATCGACTCGATGGCAATGGGTTAGGTCTACACTACGATCATGAAAATGGCGCGGGGCCGGGCACGTTTCACTCTGTTACGTGTAACATCGCCATGAGGCGGAGCCCACTCAGTGGGAACCAACAACGACAGGTCTGTACTAAGTGCTTTCTACAAAGTAACTCATTTAGGCCTCACAAGCCTTCTTCTGAGGGAGATACTACTGTCGTTCCCATTTTAGAGATGCAGAAACCGAGGCCCAGACGTTAACTCACTCAACACAAACATTTATTAGGCATTTACGCTGTGCCAGGCACTGCGCTGGGCGCACCAAATGAATTATTTCATTTAAACTTCATGCCACCATTCCATCCCCCGTTTTACAGATAAGGAGACTGAGGCAGAGAGGTTAAATAACTTTTCCAAGTCACACAGCTTGTAAGTAGCGAGGACAGGATTCAAATCCAAGAAGTGTAAACTTAAAGTGCATTTTACTTCTCCCCATGTAATGAAAAAATTCCTCAAATGTGCGATTTTAATGAGGAAGTAGTCTTCTATCCATACTTAGATGATTTATTTGACCACCTTACCATTATTTGACATTTATGTAGATTCCACCCTAGAATGTTTTGAGAAACACTATCATTCACAAGGAGTCCCTCGGTGGTGCAAATGGTTAAGAGCTGGACTACTAACTAAGAGGTGGGCGGTTCAAACCCTCCCAGAGGCACCTCAGAAGTAACACCTGGTGATCTGCTTCCAAAAGGCCACAGCCTTGAAAACCCTGTGGAGCAGTTCGACTCTGCACATGTGGGGTCACCGTGAGTCAGAATCGACTCAACAGCAACTAACAACCACAATTGTTCACAAACATTTATTTTTGCGTATCTTCAATTATTTAGAACAAATCCTTAGAAAAGGAATGAGTCGCTCGTGGGGTATGTATTTACTGTGTGCACACTGTCAGATGTGAGCTGAGACACACCATTCCAATATGCACCCCGCCTGCAGTGCAGAGGACAGCTTGTCCTGCTGAATCGCTCCCATCCCTAGTTATTACAATTCGTTTCTTTTCATTCCCGTTGCCCCCGAGTCGATCCTGACTCATAGCGACCCCACAGGACGGAGTAGAACTGCCCCATAGGGTTTCCCAGGCTGTAAATCTTTACGGAAGCAGCTGGTGGGTTCCAGCTGCTGACCTTTTGGTTAGCAGCCAAACGCTTCATCACTGCGCCACCAGGGCTCTCTTTCATTAGATAAGTGAAAATAACTTCTCATTGTTTTCAATTTACGTTTCTCTGATTACCACTCAGGTAAATTTTTTTTCCTGTACTTCTGTGTCTTTTCACATTTTGCGGTTTCAGATGATTTCTGCCACACGGTCCACTGCTCAGCTTACAGCTCTTTGGACCAAAGATGACGGGGAGCTGGGAGCGGCTCTGGGCCAGTTCCCGTACAGTCGCAGCTTGTAAAGGCCTGTGAACTCGGTGGCTGGTGGGGTGTGGTGAGTGACAGCCATTCCCAACTCACAGGCAGAAGGGTGCTGTTCAACGGAAGCCCATGGTAAAAATGTCCTATAATCGCTGTTGTTGTTATTACTGGATTACTTCCTTCCCTTAAAAGGTGAGGGTCACCTCTTAAATCCTGCCACCGCCCCGAGAAGCCACTTAAAGTACATCTTAGTTAGGAGCTGAAAAAGCAGAAACCATTTAAGACGCGTGTGAAGTAAAACACTGGCCACCGAGCAGCCTCGACGCTTCTGGGTGAACGCGTCACGCACAGGCACGCTGTCTTAACGCCGGCCGTGCTCGGCGGGCACAGGTTCTCGGCTGCTATCATTGAAGTCACGTTGCGAACACTTAGGTTTTGACTGCTTAGCAGAGCACTGCTTGGGTCAGGTTCTATAAAGATGGCTCAGAATGGAAAGGTTATTTGGGGAGCATCGCCCCAGGCCTCCGTGGCAGACTTTCAGACTCCCCATGCTCCAGGTGGGCCAGTGAACTGCTGCCCAGACCCCCTGCAGCTCCAGGTCCACTGTCGTCCCTTCCCGTAGGGCTCCTCTGTAACCTCACTCCCACCAGCAGCCTGAGAAACAGTGTAGAAGATGGAGCACTGAAAAGTTCTCAGCACCCACTAGCTCTAAGGTCCCAGACTATGCAAAGCCCAAGGACAAGACATAACAAGTTAATAAAACATTACAATTGTCATAGCCCGTTGCTGTTGAGTGGATTCTGACTTATGGCGACCCCACGTGTAGCCAAGTAGAACTGTGCTCCATAGAGTTTCCAATGGCTGGTTTTTTGGAAGCAGATTTCCAGGCCTTTCTTCTCAGACACCTCTGGGTAGACTCGAACCTCCAACCTTTCGGTTAGCAGCTGAGCGCGTTAACCATCTGCACCATGTAGGGATGCATAATTGTCACGGACCCCATCGAAGAGAGAGTGAAATAAATCTTTGGGAAGTGTAGGGTCTCCTCTATTCTTGAGCCAGGGGTGAGGAGGCTTTATCCCACAAGCCTTTCTTCACTGTTCTCACCCCTCACAGTCCTATAAAAATTCTCCTAAAGTCCTCAGCTTTAGGGAAGAC